ATACAGGGTGAAATGAGGAGTAATAGAATAGTTTATACAATAACAACAACAACAACAATATAAGGACAAACATTAAAAATCTTGAACTCTGATCAATGAAGAGATCAACCTCAATTCAGGAAAACTGATGATGAACATTACCCATTACTTCTGACCCAGCTGGTAGACTCAAGATGCACAATGAATATACATTTTTGGACCATATGGGAAATTGTTTTCCTTCACTATGCGTATGTGTTATAAGGGCCTTTTTTTCCATTTTAAATTGGATTAGAGGCAGAAAAAAAATACTTAATTGAAAAATAAAGTAAAACAAACTAAAAGTGTCCTTCTGCCCCCTCTCATCAAAGTATGTCCAATCCTTTAAGATCCAATTCCCATTCCATAAAATCACAAGGGACCTTAGAATATATATATATAGTCCTGTAGATGAACAGGGATAGTGTCTTCAATATCCCTGCAAGAGGCCATCAAATCTCTGCTAAAAACCTCTCGCTATGGGAAACTCACTAGCTATTAAGACAGTTCATTACTCTTAGGGGCACCAGATTTTTTTATCTTAGTATTTTGTCAAATTCTGCCCATGGCTACTAATTCTGCCTCCTGGGAACTAAATTGATCAAAACACTTTGTTTTAGGACACTGTCTTAACCCAATAATCATTTATTGCCCATATATTATTTTTGTACTATATGAGAATTTCCTCTCTATGTGAAGGACTCCTTGAGGGCAAGGGCCTTATCATTGGAATCCACTTGTTCCTTCATTTAAAATCATTTCCATCATTACCTTCCAATGACTCCATCAGCTAAGGATAGAGTTATCCCTAATAACAGACATCTGTGCGATGCAACAGAAGGGATGGTTGCTTTTTTTCTTTATCTTTTAAGGGAATAGGTCTAGTAGTGGTATTCAGGTACCAAAGGATATATAGTTTAGTGACCTTTGTGGCATAGTTCCAAATTGCTTTACAAAATGGATGGACCACCTTACAAATCCACTAAGTGTTAGTGTGCCCGTTTCTGACAAAGCACCCCTCCAACACTTGTCAACATGATGGGGGGGCAGGGTAGAACCTCACAGCTGCTTTAACTTCAATCTCTAAAAGTTACCTGGGACCTTTTTCTTCATAGAGTTGTTACCTTGGATTTCTGCCTTTTGATGTTCAACTGCCTATTTATATACTTTAAACATACATCAACTGGGAGATGGCTCTTGTTCTTTGAATCAACTCTTTTATCTATCTTGGAAATGGAAGGATTGTAATCAATGCAGTAACAAACCAAGATTCCAGAGGACAAAAAAAAAAATCTCTTGCTACCATGGCCTGACAAAGAGGTTACTGAAATCAAAAAGCCAAATGAAGTATACCTATTTGGACCTGATCAATTCAGGAATTTGCTTTGCTTTCCTATTCTTATTTATTAGTTTGGCTTTCTCTTTGTTTCTGTTGTCCAACTGGAGAAATGGAGAGGATTAAATAAGAATTTTAAAACCTTCAACAGAGAAACATGCCTCTGAGATTTTTCCCATTTAAATGTTTCCTTCTAATTTTAGCTGGGTCAACTCTATTTCATAATCAAAATTTTCTGTTTTTCTCCCGTGATCTTCTTTATTCCTTCTTTGGTCATGAACTCTTCCCCTAGCTATAGATGCAAAAAGTAATTTCTTATTGGCTCCTTTGTTTACGATATGATTATTAAAATCTAAGTCACGTATCTATTTAGAGCTAATAATAGGATATAGAATGAGTTGTTGATCTAAATATAAGTTCTGTCAAAATGCTTCCCAGTTTTGCCAAGTTTTCATCAAATAGTGAATCCTTAATTGTCTGGCCTTATTATACTCTAGGAATAGGCTGATAAGTTTGCTTGCTTCTGCATGTTGTAGCTAATCTATTCCATACTGATCAGTTGTTCTTTTTTTCCTTTAGAGACAGGGAGGCAAAATCAACAACTTAGTAACTGAATATATGTGGCGACCCAAGAAATCAAAGATAAATGATGCGTACAAAAATATGGCAGCTTTTCTTCAGTGACTAAGAACAAGTGGGGAAAAGCTATATTACAGCATATGAATATAATGGAATACTACTATGCTGTAAGAAATGTGTATGAACTGATTCAGAGTGTAGTGAGCAAAACCAAGAACAATAAATACGATAATAAATATATTTGAAAAGCTAAAAATGAAAGACAAGAATTCTGAGGAATGCAATGACCAAGGTGATTCCAGAGTCCTAATTATGAAACATGCTATCCAACTCTTGACTGAGGTGCTGGGCTCAAGCCATAAAACTGTATATCTTTAGACATAAACAATGTGTGAACTTGTATTGTTGACCATACAGAACTGCCTTCTGGTTTTGGATTTTTGTTTTTGCTAAATAGTGGGTGGAAAAAGTATGTGAGATGGAGAGAAAAGTGTCAATTTTTTTTTAAAGTGTGGCATAGATTGTTAATGCACTGAGAGATTGAGACTCCTTTTCACAAAAGCATCTAATGACACCTCCATCAAAACAACTGGCTTAGCCTGGTAATGCCAGAAGGATCCAGAGGCAACCAAATTTCTGAATTCAAAGACAATTGGGAAGCTCAGGTATCCTTATTTACAAATGATGGTAGGAACAGGACCACAGGCTAAACTAAAGGTCATCTTGGCAGAACAGAGCAAGGCAGGTGGTTAAAAAAGCCAGAAATAAATAGTATTTCAAATAGACTGAAGGTAGCAATATGTCAAGAGAATGTTGTAGCAAAATGCTCTATCTGGATTCAATAATTGTCTAAATGACTCAAGTTAAGTGTCATTGGATAAGTCACTAGGGCTTTGCATGTCAATTTCCTATGAAAGGGGAATAATGCTGGAACTTTACATTACAATAGTATTACACGGTGCTACAAGACTCAGCACTACAAAAACATAAATCGTTACAAACAGCATAAACATTACTGGATTATGAAATCTGTGATGGAAAAAGACAGAGTTCCTCTATTAACCCTCTTGTTTTAAAGAAACTGAAACCAACAGAGCAAAGCCAGTATTCATGGGATCAGATTGCAGTTGATACATTTTACAGCTGAGAAACGGAGGGCCAAAGTCATAGTATATTAAAAGAACTTCGGATTTCAATGGTGTAGAGAGCAACAGGTAAAATTCCTCTACCAGGTGATGAACTCAAGTGTGCAGATTAATGCATTTTTTTAGACATGTTCAATGCAGAATTTGCTTTGCTGAACTATACGTTTCTAAGAGGTTTTGTTTCTTTCTTTGTCAACAGGGGTGGAGAGTGAGATGGGGAGAGTATGCAAATCTGAAAATGAAATTAAATTTTTAAAAATTAGGGGCAGCTAGGTGGCGCAGTGGATAGAGCACCGGCCCTGAAGTCAGGAGGACCTGAGTTCAAATCCGGCCTCCAACACATAACACTTACTAGCTGTGTGACCCTGGGCAAGTCACTTAACCCCACTGCCTAGCAAAGAAAATTTTAAAAATTTGAAAAAAAAATTTTTTTAATTAAAAAAGAAAATTAAAAATAAAAAGAATTTCTCTACCAGCACAGGTCAGCATCTTCTTTGAAACTGAATATTGAGTTTGCCTATAGCAGTGTGGCTGCCTCACTTGCCTAGAACTACACATGACCAGTCAAGGAGGTAGTAAAAAGACAGCAAGTCCTGGATGCAGAGCTCGCATCAAGGCATCAGCCCTCTGGTAACACAGTCAATGATTACTAGGTATTAACAGAAAGGGGCTCCAAGAGCCATTCAAAACCCAATAGGAAGCAAAATAAAACATTCCTAGAGGCACTGTGAAAACCATGTCCAATGTCCCTGGGGCAATCAGATCACCAGAACTGTACCCTCTTCTATGAGGGATATGCACTCAAGCATTAAGAATTAGGCTGGGAACAATTTAGGCCAGGAACAAGAATATTTCTGACACAATTTTTTAAAGGATGAAAATCTTTCCCTGGAGGCAGAGTACATTATAAATATGATACCTTTTTTCCAAAGACATTACAATGAGAATGCTAACTTTCTGAATCAACAATTAGATGCAATTTGGTTGCCAACCAATGATCTTATCTTCATCCCGGTGTCACTGTAGCATACCCACTGGACCCTAACCTCTCACCTCCAAAGTCTGTCCATGTTGTTTCTTGGGTTTTCGAGAGCGGGCTTGTTTGGTCTGTTTCATTTTATCTTGGCCTTGAAAAGAGTACAGTCTGTTGCCTACGCTTGTTGTCTAAGGGCAGTAAACATTTCTGATGAGCCAGGTTTGAGGCACAGAGGAGAAACCTCTTTAATTGAGCTAAAGAGCTCATTTAGCTCATTAGAAAGGAGGTACTTGCTCACCATCTCTCTTAGCAACCTCGAGCTCTCAGAGTTTCTAATTCCTAAAGGAGTCCTGGCTTTGAAAGAAATTTTTCCACAGGCGGAATTAGACTCTGGAGGACTTGGCTCTACTAGTTACCCCCTTGAGCAACTATCTTCTCCCTAGAGCTCAAAATGAGGGGGTCAGTAGATGCCTATTAGTTCTGAGGCCTCTGAAGGCATCCCTCAGCAAATACCTCCTACACAGCACCTAAAAGATGGATGATGGTGGCTGCTGTATCCTCTTGAAGACCTTCAGTGAGGCTGTGACAGGGATCCCACGCATCACTTCTTTTCATAAAACAGGCAATATTCCATGTTCCTTCATTCACTCATCTGTGATAAATGCATGTGCCTGTGGCTTTTAATTGTTTGGTTCTAAGGAGGGGAGATGGAAGACACAGAGAAATAGAAGTCAGAAGCATTTCCCCATGAGGGACAGACACCTCATGGAAATGTGTCTTGGTTCCCCAGCAGTTTAGTGCCATAACTGCTCTTTCCCTTTCATCTTGTCTGAAGAGCAAGTCACCCTCTCATGGATCTTCCCCTTATATAACACTTAATAAAAAGAACAAAAGGAGGCCATAGAGAAATACTGATTTTTAATTAAACCATTATAATAGGGTAAACTCTAGGCATTCATCAATTTCCATTCTAAAAACTGGGAAAACTTTAAACAAGGCAGTTTTTCATTTGTTATTTGGCTACTGTTACAAAAAAATTATGAAACACAAACATAAAAAAAGGATAGAAAAACTGTCAACAGTAATGTCCTTATTCTACAAAATAGCACCAGTAAAAGGCCTTAAAACCATTACAATAGCATTTCTGAAATGCTGCTTCCCCAATTGCTTCCTCCCCTTAAAAATGTTCCTACACGGAATTAAAAGACAGGTGTCACAGCAGATAAAAATTTTCTGGAGGAAGCCTCAGGGTTATTATAGACTTTCCATCTTTTAGATGAAAAACAAAAACAAAAAATGTGCATTTGAACCCTAAACATGACCACTGTCCAGAGGAAGGTGATGCAATACAAAAGCGTGGGATTATCATGCAATCAACCTCTGAAACCACAAACAATGCACCTAGCAGTTACTAAGCAAAGTGCCACCTGAGTAAGGAGAAGATAAGGACTTTTTCTTCCTCCACCACATTTTGGGAGAAGGAATGGTGAGAGCTGAAGTGATGGAGAGGTTAGTAGCCTAGACAGCCATAACACACACTTCAAGGCACATATTCATTTAGCTGCCTGTTCAGTCTTGGGCCTTTGACTGCAATATCTCAGGGGAGAAAAGGTACCCAAAATCCTGACAAAGAATGAATGTGTCTATTTAGTATTCCAGCCCCACTATCTTCCCCCTTTAGGCTATCTTGCAAGTAGTAGCAGGACAATAAATAATTTGAGTTTAGTTTGTGTCAACGATTTTTCTTAAATGCACTGGAAATGTGTTGAAACCAGCCCTGCTGGATTCATCACCTTCCAAAATGCCTGGAGGTGTTACACGGGCATTGACTTGCACACCCAAGCTTTCCAAAATCATTTGTTCTTGATTTTTATTTTAATTTTTAGAGTGAGGGAGTTTTTATTCTTTTTCTTTTTTTATTTTAATGAAGTAGAAAATATTGGACTAAAGGAGAACATACAAACTATTGTTACTAATGACTAGAAAAACCATCATATGCTGCTCAGTTTCTTTCAGTTACATCTGTATATAAGTAAGTCTGTCAGTAGTTTCATTCAGCTACATTTGTATCTTTCCCATCAGGATTGTATTTCACTGAACAAGGAGCAATAAACCAAAAAAAATTTTTTATGACAATCTCGACACTTGTGCTGTCTCATTGCTTCAGAATATGACCTAACAAAGTTTGATACCTTATTTCTACAAACTTTAGCCATCATTTTGTGAGGGGAGAAAAAACAAAAACAAACACTAAAAATCTCTATTTCAAGTGTAGTTTAAAAAAAAAAAAAGAAGCACCAATCTTGCCCCTCCCAGTGGCCACAATCAAGTGGTAGGACTTGTCTGTAGGCTTCAGAGAAATAGTTTGCACAGGTCTTCTGAAGAAGTGTGCCTCAAAAACAAGAGTCCCACTGAGAAAATAGGGAAAAGTCTGAGGTACATGTAATGACTGATGGTTTAGGTCTTATTCTGACCTTATTCATCACAGCAACAAAATCGAAGAATAGCAGAGACTAGAACTTGGGAGGGGAAGTTGAGAGGGGGAGAAGAACCCACAAGTTCTGCCATCCCTGGTCATGGTTCTTCCCCAGTGTTACCCTCCTCCAATGGCCAAAATCCCCTTCCACCTGTCAGCTCCAGCCCATGTGTTATTCACAAGCAAAGTAGTCCTTCAGTGGGGCAAAAAGATGCCGGATAACAGGGACGCTCCAGGATCTGCCCAGCAACTTCTGGCGAGCACCTCGACCCATGTTTGACACGTCGGTGTAATGGACAGGAAAGCCAAAAATTCTGGGAGCAGGAACAAGGCAAAATATGGGGACATGAGAGGCAGCAAAATTTATTCCCCTAAGGCTGGAGCCAAATTTTCTTGGGATAAGACCATAGGTAAGGTAAAGGTAGGGATCCTTTAATGTATATCTATACCAAAATTCCCAAAATTGATCTGGCCCAATCTTGACACATAAAACAGAAGTTTAAAATCGCAATTGGAAACCAACTCAGTTTTACTGACAATTTAGTTTGGACCTGCAACTAACTCCCCATCACACCCATAGCTGTCATTATCCTATACCAATAATAGCTAATAACTAGCATTGGCCCTTTTAAGTTTTGCAAAGTCCTTTACAGATAATGATGATAATGATGATAACTAACATTTATATAGCACTTACTATGTGCCAGGCATTGTGTTGAGGGCTTTAGTTATTACTTCATTTGATCCTCATAACAACCCTGGGAGGTAGGTACTATCATTATCCCCATTTTACAGATGAGGAAGCTGAGACAAACAGAGATTAAGTGACTTGCCCAGGGTCACACAATTAGTAATTATCTGAGGCTGGATTTCAACTCAGGTCTTCTGACTCCAGGTCAGGGCTCTATGTACTGTGTCACCCCAGCCACCTCACCAGTAGCACACCACAGCATCCATTAAGTTATATGGTTAAAAGTACCTAAGGTCAACTTGTGATTGTGTCTAAAGATAAGAGAGTGGTACATGGAGTCAGGGTATCTGGGCTCCAGTTGTGAAATGTACATTGCATGATGAAACACACCACCCACCTCCAGATAGAGAAGTGGACTGAATGCAGATTGAGGCATTTTTTTTAAAGTGTGGTTAATGTAGGAATGTTTTGCTTGACTACATATATTTGTAATAGCTTTTGTTTTTCTAGCTTTCTCAATGGGAGAATGGTGGGAGGAGAATTTGCAGATGAAAAAAAAAATTTTTTTTAATGTCTGATAGTAGGCATTATGCCCTTTGAGGGCATAAGCCTCCTTAACTATAAAATAATGTGGTTGGAATAAACCCTTCTGTAAGATCATTACCACCAGACATGGGAAGGAGAGAGCACCTACTCCTCTGAGTCAGATCTAAGGCTTCCTAGCTTTAATGTAATAATGAATAGTGAAAATATGCACCTTTCCTAGTACCTAACCCCATCTTCCCTCTGAGAAACATATAGTGAACGGTCATTGAGAAATCAGTAAAGACACAAAATCGCTGGTATCTTAGAAATCTGTGTTTGGTCTCTTCCAAATGGGAAGTTAGCAAACCATTTAACACACTGATCACATCTTCCATGAGATCAAATGGAGAATAGGGCTTAACATTACTTGATATTCTCCCTTTATATGCTTCTAACAAAAATTAGATATTACTATATCTTGATTATTACAACATTCCCACTTCATCCTTTAAAGCCTTCAAAGTCTACCTCTTGCACAAGGCCTTTCCCGGTCACCCTAGCTCCTAGGAAGTAGTGATCTAATTAAACATACATCACAATATGTATTGTAGTGACACATATGGATGCCTTGTCTTCCCAGATAGGACAAGCTCCCCAAGACCAGAGATCCCATTATACCTCCAGAGTCAAGACGGTCACAGGAAAAAAAAATATGTTGAATGAAATAGGGAGTGGAGAAAAGATCAAAGGGAAGCCCAGGAACAGATATACAAGAAATGGGTCAAGTAGCTGAATTTTCTTACTTTTCTTATAACCACTGTGTTAAGCAACACAATTTGTCAGTCACAAATGAGTGGGTTAGGAAATCACCAATTCTATCATTTCATCTGTACTTGACCCCATTCCAACCCACCTTTCTCTGTTTCTCTCTGGACCTTCTACCCCAAATCTGCTCACCTTTCTAGCTCTGTGCACCATAATATATCTTCTTTGCCATTCATGATAACAGGGAATTGCTGATTTTTCCCCTGTTTGATCGAGTTCGACTTAGTTGTTATTGTCTGTACTTTCTTTAACTGGGGAACAAAAACATCAGGTAATGAACAAAGAAGGCTACAGGGTCAGTACATGAGCGAAAGAAGGTTTGATCCAAGCAAAAGACAAAGCTTTGATTTAGATAATGGTCAGGAGAGGGCAAAAGCATTGTCTAAATAACTCAAGGTCAGGGAGAAAAAAGGATGAAAGCCAGGCAAGTCAGTCACAATCAACAGAACTCTAAACTGACCCAATTTACTGGAGCAGCCAACCCCCTAGGCTATATTAAGCCATTTCCTTTATCTTCTCAGAAGAGAAAGAAAAAGCAGCTCAGGGTTTCTGGTCTTCAGGAAGGTTCCATGTGACAATTCAAAAGCAGAAGTTGTTAGTCTCTAGAAATCATTCATCTGGAGGCCTAAAAAAGGGGAGTTCACATGAAATATCCCTCATAAGTCTAGCCAGACTTCTGGTGGGCACAGAAAAAACAGGGAGGGCACTGGAAAAAGACAAAGACCTCAAATTAAGGAATCCAAAGGGATATTCCTTTCCTAAGAGAAAGGACCCTTAGACATCAAATCCTTAGACCCTTGTACAAGGGCACACAGGTATTCAAAATGAAGAGGATACTGTTTCAGAACAAGCTTACCTTCGCTATCCTATTGTACTCCAGGCAGTCCTGAAGCTCGAGTTTATCGGTCTTTGATGCTATCACCGGCCTGGGAACAGCCAAAACTCATTATGTTCTACAGTCCACAAATGAATCTACTCTGCTTCCAATCGCCTTCTAAGCCAGTGATCCCTTTACAAACTCAAATAGCGTTAAGAGTAGCAAGCAATGAAACAATTTGATAAGGCAGCCCAAAAGCTGCATGAATAGAAGCAGAGGCTCTAAAAGAAGATGAGAACATACCTCAAGGATTGGCCTTAGTAGCAATTTTTTTAAGAGGCATGGGTGGAGAAAAGGGACAAGGAGAATGACTGGAGTCATTACGACTGGAAAATGGACTTTGGGAGAGGGGAAAGAGTGGGGCACCACACAAGTGATGGTTTCATTCAAAAATGTGAAAGGCTAAATAGAAGAGGCAAATAATGAAAATTAGAGCTGTATAGATCTAGACTAGGCTCCCTCAGCCTTATCGAAACTCTCCTATCTGGAGATCATCAAGAGGAGATCTCACAATTACTTGTTAGGGAGAGCATATTGAAATAGAGAAAAGCTTCCTGGCTACAGTTCTAAAACTCTGTAGCTAAAAGAGACTTAAGAGGAAATGTAGTGCAGTGAAAGGAATCCAGGATTTAGAATAAAAAGCAATCACATTACCTAGTTCATGAAGCAAGTGACTCATGGTACAGAGAAGGGAAGCAACTTTGTCCACACCACAGTGCAGGAAAGGGTATTACTGATGTGCATAGATAGGAAAGGAAATGTCCAGAATTCTAAATAAAACCCGATGCCATTGGGAGTAACTTGACATAAAGGGGAGGACAATTTATGAGAACCCTGGTTCTTGCACTGAATCATGATGAATAAATCACTCTCCTTACTCAGGGCCTCAGTTACTTCATCTAAATGCTGACAGGATAATAGAAAATGACCTCAAATATCTATGCATGTCCAGGAAATATAGAAGCCCAGTTACATGATCCCAACCAAACTATACTGCAATGACTAATTCCCAGAAAATTTTCAACCCTGGGTTGAGTATTATTAGAGAACCAATTCCCAAAATTTGGCTGTGTACACACACACACACACACACACACACACACACACACACACACACACATTAAGGTTCTATGACCATATACTATTTATTCAAAATTGTAATTAAAAAGATTCCTACTGGACTGCTACTACAAGCAAAATTTAACAGCAAGAAACCACAGACATAAGTGTAATAAAGGGTATTCCACCAATTCAGGGATTAAAGCATTAGACATCTGTCAAGCCAGGCCCCTTTCTCTATAAGGCTAACAAAAGGACTCTACACCTGGTTCTCAATGGTTACATAGCTCCAAAAACAAAAATAAAGCTTACTTAACACCCTTCCCTTTTGTGGGAGTGGAGAATATGAAACTTCATGCTCTGAATGTCCTTCCTTAGAAATTCCCAAACAACAAAGGACCAGAAAGGGACCTTCAACATTATCTAATCTTCCAAATTCTCACTTCTAGAATCACATCCATACGTTGACTATTGACCATAGCAGTCAGCAATTCCTTTACAAGAAGATCACTACTTCCAGAAGGAACACCTATGTTATCATAGAGTGGAGTCAAAAATCTGAATATCTCTGTGTTTTGTCTGCTAAGTCTAATATAACCTTCTAGAGCTGGAAAGAATAAATCTAATATACCACTGAAAGGTAAGCTGGTTGAAGAAAGGGCTCATTTTATCTTGTGGCCAAGTATTTGGCACACAATATGAACTTGCTTTGTTGAATCTCAATAAATAGGCCTTCAGCTATAAATATCCAAAGATAACAAACTGTGATAACGTTTGGTAGATGCACATTTTTTCTCTCCAACATGATCAATGTGATCTTCACAACTACCATGCTTCGTATTCAGCAACATCACATTGGCAGTTGAACATATTGTACTTGAAAGTCAGAGACAGGACAGGCATTACAAGCCTGGGACTTGTAATCACTTGAAATTGAATCACTAGTCAATATAAATTTATTGTGATCTTTGAGTCTCCCTTCTTTTCATATAATCAAATCAGAACAAGAATTATAACTTATATATTCACTGATGGTAAACATGACAAAGTTCTGTGGACTGCCAAGAAAAACTGACTCACTTCTGAATCTATACATCTTGAACTGTAATAGTTTAGGGTAAAATATACTCATCTGATAAATCAGAAAGGAATTCTCTCCCCATTCCCCTCTAAAAATTTAAATGCTTGAAGGAGATAAGACAGATTTGAATAGGTTAAGTCATATATGTAAGCTCACCTCACTAGTCTGTCTATGCTGCCCACACAGAATTACATATGAAGGTGAGGAAATCTCTCAAACTTCAAAAACAACCCTACAACTGTATCTCATTGAGCCAAGAAGAGAACTATTGACCTTATCGAGGGTCAAACTCATAATCTCCTACTGGAATAAATCTTATTAGACTAATGAAAATCCTAAAGGCCCTACCTTGCCAGTTCACAAAAAGATTTACTATCACGGCTTAAAAAGTCACCAAGTAGAGCTTTTTCCCTTGCTCCCAAGTCTAGCCAGTTAAAATCACTTATAAAATTAGGAACAGGATTCTTAGTTTTTGAAAAGTAAAAACAGGGAAAAGTGGGATGTTAGAAGGGTAAAATGAAGCCACCAAAAAAATGTAAAACTCCCATCCATGGAATATCCTAAGAAGCTCGTGGCAACCTATGCATCTTAGAAACACAGTCTTACAGGAAACTTTCTAATGAGAAGCCTTCTATTGTTGTTCATTAAGAGCCAACATAGTCTTATAATAAACAGGTAAATTAAATGGATAACGGATGCAATGTGGCCTACCACCAAGAGGAAACTATCAGTTTACTCAAATAGGCTGGGGAACAACCACCCTTCCCACATCTATAAAACTTAGGACCCACACCAAGGATGTGACGTGGTCTCTCTCATGTCACTCCTGCCTGACCCATCCTATGGGAGAAGTGAAATATTCTCCACATCACCTAAAATGGGGGTGAGGGAGCTAAGAGAAGCACATTTGTGTACTAGTGTCCTTCAGAATGCTTTCCAGTCAGAGGCCCCAGTAAAAAGTCCATTATCAGGCCCCCAAGCAGTAGATATACAAAACCTGAGAAGCCAGGAGGTAGTTAGTTACCTGTTCATCCCAGGCAGGTTACCCCAGTAATAGCGGGCCCGGTGTGCAGCTGAGACTTTGATGGCATCAATCATTACTGGGTTACACTGTAGACCAATGGAAATTAAAAAAAAAAAAGGAACCAAATATCAACATAGAACTGACATAAACTGGGTAACTAGGGATCTGACATGGAAGGGATGTCATCTAATCCAAAACATATTTGCAGGGAAAACCAAGACCTAGAGGATAAATGGATTGTCTCTAGAGACTAAAAGCCTTAGGGGTGGGTACTGAGGCCTTGGCTGCTATGTCCACGCCACAACTACCCTCCCAACCTGGAATCATTAATAGTGATTATTAATCATAGCACTACACAGGACAGAGGCCTGAGCAGTATTGTCACCATGAATTCTAAAGATTTATAGCTTAAAGTATAACAGGACATGACCAAGGGGGGTGGGGAGGTACAACCATCTACACTTTTTGTCCTGGAGGAGGATGGGGCTGGAGAGATCTCAGAAGAGAGCTTAAAGTAACAGCTTATTCCCCTCCTCCCCAAACACATACATTTCATCTGAAAAATTATGGGTGTATGGTGGGGAAGAGGATAAATAAGGTCACACTTAGAAGGGTCTAAAGCTGATATTCTCCAAGCTGAAAAGCACCTTTTTGAGGTAAGAAAGTAGATTCTGGCATTCTGGAAACAACAAACCTCAGTACAACTTTAGGATGGCAATTAAAAATCAACACAGCAGCTTAGGACAGAGCCAGCATCCTTTATGGGAAGTAATCTATTAGTGATACTTTAAATATTGATATGCAATCTCTTGTACCACTGCCCTGACCCCAGACATCTGAGGGTAGTTCATAATCCTATCCCACCATCCTTTCACCTAAGTAATGAAATCACTCACCTCCAAAAACCTTGAGATGTCCCTTTTGTCATTGACTCTCATGGCCACAACATTCTCAAACATCCAGAAGAAAGGGCGCTCATCTCCCTCTTTGGGGCGAGTGTAATTGAGTAAATGGTAGAATTCAAAGAAGAGCCTTCCCGTGCCTTCTGTTACAGATAGATGAGAGAGAAAATAGGGAAATCAGGATAGAGGAAGTTCCTAGATGCCAGTCCTTTCAATTTCAGATCCCACTATCTTTTGTATATAGCAGACTCAGTGATGTGCCCTCCATTCTTAAAAACCTGTAATTGTATACCAATGCAGCAAACCTTTTTAATGTTGTCTCTTTCCCTTTGCTATATAAAGGTTACCTGGAAATACTTTAATAGAAAACCATAAAATTTAGAACCAGAAGGGATTGTAAAACTCCTCCCACCTCCTTTGGCTAAGAAAAGACCCTTTGACTCCTCATTCTTTTTCGTATCTAAAACTTATCCTACTGCTCTGGTCAAGACAAATAAAAATCAGGTTCTGGCCAGAAAGACAGCAAATAAAGCTGAAAAGGGAGAATAACCTTTGCCAAGGCTTGCCACTGATTTGCTAAGTGAGTTTTAGTCAATCTCCTAGGGACTAGGTTTCTTCACCAACAAAATGACAAGATGAAATACATGGTTTCCTCCATTTTCAATATTCTATAAAGAAGTAACTAATGTCTACTCCAAGTATAAGAGTCTATCATTCTGCAATACCCCACAAGAATTTGTTCAATTCTGTATTTTCCCTTTTTGTAAGATTAATCCAAATCTGAGAAAGAAACATTAAAACTATTATAGTGTCTATCTTCTTGCAATATGGTATTTTTTTTCTTTAGGAATTTAAGATACTATAACACTTAGAGCATATTTAGTTTATGGTCCACAGGTATGGGATATTGCATAAATTTTCAGATTTTTTTTAATGTATTGGTCCTTTAACTCAAGTGCCATATTTTATTTAATCATTCCCCAATCAATGGGCCTCTACTTTCCAATTCTTTACTATCACAAAAATGATGCAGATAAATGAAGTAAGTACAGCAAAGAAAGCAAAATATACACTATGACTACCATAAAAATAAAACCTGAAAGAACCACAGATCAATCAAAAGCAAAACTACAGAGAACAAGCATGGTTCCAAATGAGATGGAAGATGCATCTACTGCTCCAATTCTTTACAGAGGTCCCTGGGTGTTATACACCACACGTATTTTCAGATTTTTTTTGATACATTAATTATGCCGATTTTTTTTCCTGTAAAGATATTCCATTGCAAGGAGTGGCTCTCTGGCAAGTGGGGAATACTGGGGGAAATTTTAGTGATGTAAAAAGTGATCATTTTTCTAAAAATAGTCATTGTTACATGAAATGGCTTGGAGAGGGAAGAGGAGGATGGGCATGGGGAAAATTTAAGCAATATAAAAACCAAAGATATCAACAAAAATGAATTTTTCTTTTTTTTTTTTAAAGTTTGACCTAAGGCAGACCTGTACAACATATGGCCCATAGGCTGCTGGTGGCCTGCCAAAGTGGCCCGTGGGCAGTATGCTGTGCAGGCCTATTTCACATCCTCTACATTTTTTGTGAGCTGCCTGAAATCCTTTCTCGGGACCAAAAGCAGTATGTAAACCGTAAGCAGGGCCGAATGTTGCGCAAGCTTGACCTAAGGGTACCAAAATCTGTTAAGGGCAATAAAATTTTATTAAAAAAAAAAGACCCTCACAAGTTTACAGTTTTAGTATCTTTGCTAGGACAGATTAAAGAGGGTAACCTTTGTAATGAACCCAAACCATTGGATTTTCTCTGCATGAAAACACACTCCCTTGGGAAACCACTCAAACCCCTCAGAAAACCCAGAAATAATGGTTCTCACCATACAGGCCCTTTCTGGCAGGATTCACATTTGAAAGATCATTGCATGGACTTCCACCAATAAGCAAATCGAAAGGTCCCCATTCATCAATCTGAGAAACAAATAAGTCAAGAGATGTCATATACAAGAGATACTACTATCTTCCTACCAGATTCCCACTCCACTGATGCACATAGATTTTAATTAAGAGATGCTTCTATATATTCAAAACTAAGCCTTTTGTTCCCCCAATCCAACTACAAAGGTAGTCTTTCCACCACTAAGTAGGGTATACACATATATACCACGCATATACCAAGAAAGACAGGACACCAAAACACATCCTTTCAGAAAGCCAAGAAAGAAACCTGTAGTCAGTTTCTACATCCAAACATATATGGACTAAGGGTCCAGTCAAAAAATCCTCCAACTAGACCTGTAGCTACTAAGTTAACCTGAGCCTAAGAGTATGTTGGGGGAGAGAAGAAACATTCACTCACCTGACGCTTTGTGATGTTCCTGACATCATGAACGTATTTGATGATCCCTCCATGCTTGACTGTCCCAACAGCAATGGAATCTTCACAGATCTCTGAAGCAATGTACTTGTCTACCTTGATACCCAAATCTTTTAGCACTAAGTAGCCTGTCAAAGGCAGAGAGGAAAGCAACGAGGACTCATTCACTATTCTTGCCCCTTTAGGGGCTGGTCAATTTATATACACATGGATGCCTCATCTGGAAGCAAAAGTGACAAGGTACTCACTTGCTGCCCCAAAAAAAAAATTATGAGAGAGATCCAAGAAAAGCATAAGCTCTGAATGTAAAGACTTTAACCATGAGCCAAGCCACCAAGTGGCAAACTTTAAGTTGAGGAACATCTTTAACAAATACTAAAGAGGGTCATTAGATGATTGGCACATGTCTACAACTCAGAAAATTATCTACTAGGACATGGAGGAAGTGGGATAAGTAGAAGGAATAACCCTTAAAAACAAAGTAAATGAAGCATTAGGGTGCAAGAGATGTGAACCTCTTCATTCATGGTTTGGCTATAAACTAACTAACTGGGGGAGCTGGAAGGGCTCACAGATGTGTATGTGGTCCATGCTATCTCATTCCCAAAGAGCAGAGAAACTTGTGGCTTCCCCAAGAGCACACCGCTTTTAAGTAGAAAAGCTTGAACTGTGGTCCCTTAAAGGTCAAATAGGTTATAATGGGATCAGTGGCCCTTTTGTGGTGATCCTTTTTTTCATTTATCTAGGCTTCTTCTTGAAAGATAAGAGTATTTAGTCTACCAGGGACAGGAATGCTAAGCCTGCAGCTTGGGAGGGTCTGGCAGAACAAATGTTCCATTAGCATAGCAGGAGCTAAGGGTCACCCCCATGGAGGGGCCCATGAGAGTTCAGATCAAGGTCAAATCAAAAGTAACCCTGTTTGGTGTGGGGTTAAGGAGAAAGGGGAACAAATGGAGTATTAAATATGCCCACATATTTCCAGCAGAATTCTTGCCTTGATCAAGTGTTCTATAATTACATAAGAGCTCTATTTCTATCTTCTCTTAACTGAAAAGGCCTAGGTCAGGCTGTCATTACTTATAACCTGGAAGTATGTTCCCTGCCTATTCACCAGTCCCCAAGCATTCCAACTCCTACTATGCTTTGCATGGGATGTCTTCCCTCATGCTTGGAAACACTCCAACTCTTTGAAGACTCAGCTTATATATAACACCTACCAGATTCCATTTTAATCTCATTCCCTGCAGTTTGAAGTGCTTTAAATCATAACCAATAACTGTTTAAATCTCAGATCTTTTCCATTTATTTATTAGTATAAAAGGTACCTTCCAACCAGTAAAATATAAGCAGGGATTCTTTACCTACAACACACAGACCTTGGACACAATATACTACATGTTTAATAATTTTTTAAATTCTCTTAAATAAATGCAGCTAAAATTCTTGTTCTGCCTTCAAGGCTAGCTAGGTCCCAACTTCTCCCATCAAGCCTCCTCTGACAGGCAAGCTAAAACAGATCCCGCCTATTAAGGACTCTCTAATGTGAATTCCTTGAGAACAGGGATGGCCATTTTTATTACACTTCCCTGATTTGCAGCATAAAATCATAAATAACTTCAGATATTTCCTCCATTTTGTGGACAAAGGAAGTTTAAAAATTACAGACTTTTCTCATTTCTCCCACACCCACTAATTGTAGACTGGGACTGTGGAAAAGGACCAGAGAGGAATTTCACTGCCACAGAAATGGAGATGGATAGGCCACCATCCTCACTATCATCCCAGACTCAGGAGGAAGTAGGTCAGGAGCATTTTCAGAAGACTCACCTGTAGCTATACCATCAAAAAGGGACAGAACCCTGATTGGTCGTCTCCTTGATGCAGGTACTGCTGGATACAGTTTTGGAACTGCCTGTCCAACAAGATAATAGTACAATAATTAAGAAGCAGGTACCAGGTTACTGAGCAACTATTGGGATTTATTTTTCTGACTGAAATAAGCTACATTCTATTTGACAAGATCCTAGTTTTTTAATCATATTTTCAGTCAGATTCCTCATCTTTTATTCAATTACTGCCACACAAAGAAATAGACCCTCATGTAGCACTACTGACAGTTAATTGTTCAACTCAGAAGTTTTGGAACAAAACAATTCGCCACGGGGATCAATAACAATTTGTGTTCCCAGCCTGCCCTTGTTAACCATAAAAAAACCTGTCCCCAGGGTATCACAGACCCACTCTACAAAACAAATATCTGTGAATAAACTACCACAACTGATCTATGCTATGTTTTTTCCCCTTTTTTCCTCAGGTGGCCAGACACTTAATGACTAAACATTGTTGGTGGAGCTATGAATTAGTCCAGACATTTAAGGAACTATTTATCTGGAATTATGCTCAAAAAGTTATTTAGCTATACATACCCTTTTGCCTTGATCCCAGAACATTCATGACAAAATACTACCCACTTCTGACAAAGAGGAGATGGACAGGGCACAAACTGAGACATATGTTTTAGGCAAAGGCAATGAGTAAATTTGTTTTGCTTGTCTGTGAAGATTTTGAGGACAAGCACTATCTTTTGCCTCCTTTTTATATTCCTGGTCCTTAGCACAGTGCCTGGCATATAAAAGGCACAAAATTAACATTGATTGATTGATTGATTGATAGTATTGGTCACCATCTTAAAAGAAAGAACATTACATAAGCTTCTTGCCAAAATTGGGTATGGCAGGCAAACTCAGTATGCCTATTGCTTTCCAGAGTTTATGGTTATGGCCTTTTCCCAGTCTGTGGAGTGCATTCTGACACAGCTACTGTACACAACTTGTCTGTTTCTCACAGACTGATCAATGGAGACCATTCAATTTGCTTGTTGGTGAGAGTTCACATAAATATCTTTCAAAATGAAACCTGCCTGGGCAGGCCTATATGATAAGAACCAGCCAAAGATTTGGGATTCATTATGAAGGCTGCTTCTTAAAGCTGTTCTGGCAAAACTGTTGAGAAGGGAATCTTGTAGGGAATTTTTTTAAAATAAATTTTTATTGTTCTCCAAACTCTGCCAGATGGAAATCTTTCTAGAGAGCCCTGGTTGTATCCTGACGTCTAAAATCCTGAGCTCAGAACCTTAAGTGACAGTAGAGCTTTGGTATTGGAGGTAGAGCCCAATAAAAGGACAAAGTGCAATTAGCAGCAAGAAGCTGCTTTTTTTCAGTGTCCCAGATTGCCTCATGATTTTGTAATCTTATACAAATAGAGTCCTTTCTCACAAAAATTCACCCTCAGGCAGATTCATTTTGCCAGAGGAATGCAGTGTCTGGCACTGTCATTTCTCTAAGACACCAAACTATTCATATGGAATATTTTCAGTTTTTTCATGACATTTAACTTTTTTTTTTTTACAGAGAATGAAACTGAGGTACCATAGAACAGAAGCAAAAGTGATAAAATTTCTAACCTTGTCAGAGACACCAGTATGATTTATTAGATGACCTTGGGAAAGTCACTTAACCCCTAGGCCTCTTCCATAAATGGAAAGATTGCAATACCTTAAGGTCTCTTTTAACATTCAAGTTCTAAAATCCTATACCTTATCCATGACAAAAAGTTAGTGGGCATTCCCTTTCTAAAAACTACAATACACTTTATTCTTTGAAACTATGTCCCCAGAAAAAAACTATTAAGGGAATTGAGTTACATTCAGTTGATTGGATTACTTTCTCCCATACACACCCATTCTTTAAATAGCTATATGAATTCCTAGCCTTCCTTTAAGAGCCCATGAAGCTTCAGTGTCAAAGCTGAGACTTGAGGATTCAAAAACTATGCCCAGCCAAACATGTTGTGACAATTACCTCGTGTGTGTGTGTGTGTGTGTGTGTGTGTGTGTGTGTGTGTATACACACCATGGATGAGAAACCCCACAAACGCCTTACATATTCCTGAGCTTTGTCATTGGTGAAAAATTCCTGAAGGCGAATGTTCCAGTCCTTCCGACGCTGTAAGACCCCATAGCACCGCTGAGGCTGGCACATGTAACAACTCCAGGGCTCTTGTGCTTTGGCACTGGCTGATGTCCCTGCCCCAACCAGCACATCCAGGCATTCGACACAAAAACACCTGTGCCCAGGAGTGAGGAGAGAAAAGGGTTAGGCAAAGCACTTCTACATATTACAGCTACCTTGGCTCTTGAGCATCCTCAAAGCCCAGCGGACACAAGAAGGCTGAGCCAGGCTACTGTATCCATTTAACCAACTTCCCTCTGCCTGCCCCACCCCCACCCCCAACCCAACCCCTCCCACACACACACACACACCCTGCTCCAGATCTTCTCCATTTTTGCCACTAGAATCAAAGAACTAGACAGTTCATTGTCAGATATTAGTCAAATCAGGGACCCCTTCCATGATATCACCTCTTTATCTGTCCAATGAAGGGGGATTTGCACTTTACCTCTAAATCCACTCTAAACTTCTATCTCAAAATCCTAAAATAGAAACCCCTACAACATTCCTGATGTCAGGTGCTCACCTGAAGACCTCCAATGATTGGGAAGTTAGGAAATCATTTTCCTTTTTACCAACTAACTAAAAAGTTAGGCATGCATATTAAAAAGCCTTCTATTTAAGCAATGAGCTGTGTTTTAACTAGGAAAAGCCATAAATAAATCTAGGAGAGCTGGAAGGAGATAATCTACTCTGGAAAGCAGTATCCGATGGTCTCCAGTAGAAGGAAATTCACATTTTAACTATCAGGTTTGGGAAAACACACTGACCTGGGTCTCAAAAGCCCCCTAGTTTGAAGGCTATTCCTTATGGTCTCTGCAGCCATAGCTCTCATCTCATATTTGCAAAGAGAATTTTTGACCAGAAGGACCATTTCTAGCTCTGAATACTATTACCTAAAATGAAAAAACTCTCTGTAGACATCCTAACCTAACTATTCATATGAGCACATAAAAATTGTTTAAACTTTTCTGAGAAACAATTTGCAACAAATGTGAGGGAAATGATTCACCATTAAAAGCCTTTGACCAAGACATTTCTTAACTGGCTATACCCCTCTGCAACTTCTCTGGCTTTCCCACCATGTCCAGGAAGGCCATTACTGGGAAAACTTCAACACCCTACAAGATCCTATCAGCCTTGGTATACTTCCTCATCACTAGCCTTCTGCCCCTCTAATTTAAAGGTAGAGCCATGACCTCCAAAGGAGGCAGCTCAGCTCAGAAAATCCCACTTCTCACCTGGCTGCACTACTTTGGGCATCTATGCCCCTCTCCTTCTCCCCTCTTTCCCCTCCCATTTTTCACCTTTTTGGACTGAAAACAAAGACTGTTCTCTTTTTCATATTTGCATCCCCAGTTCTGTGCACAGTGCCTGCCTGGCACATAGTAGATGATTATTAAATGTTTATTGGGACTTTTGTTGTTCCTGTTATTCAGTCCTTTCAGTCGTGTTTGGGTTTTCTTAACAAAGATAATGGAGTGGCTTGCCATTTCCTTCTCCAGTTCATTTTACAAATAAGAAAACTAAGGCAAACAGGGTTAAGTGACGTGCCTAGAATTACACAGCTAATAAGTGTCTGAACCCAGATTTAAACTTAGGTCTTCCTGACTACAGGCCTAGTGCTCTATCTACTTTTCCACCTAGCCACCCATTTATAGACTATTATTAACCAAAGGTTCCAGGCACATCAAAATATTCAAATGAGCAACAAATTGGAAACAAACTTCTGAGATATCCATGTGGAAAATAACTAAACAAATTACAGCATATTGATATAATGAAACATTAATACATCAAGAATGAGGAATTTAGAAAAACTTGAGAATACTTGGCATAAACTGATTCAGAGTGAAGCATGAAGAAACAAGAAAACATACAGAATGAATAATGTAAATTCACAGAATAGCAATAAAATAACAATTTAAAATGCTGTGATTGTAATAGTTAACCTTGATCTCTGCACATAAATATACCTATGATGACACATCCCTGCTCTCAGTCCAAGAGCAAGGAGTAAACATTGTACATATGATATTAGAAGGTCACTTGTCATCTTGCTTTGCCAGGGTACCCTTTGAACCTCCCAGGACTTCTACATCACCCTACCACCATGCTCCCCTGTACATGTTATTTCATCCTGAGATGTAAGCTCTAATGGAAGGAGCCATTTTACTTTTCTGTTTGTATACTCAGTGCTTAGCATGAAGTTTCATAAATAGTAAACGCTTAATACTTTTCGAAATTTATTCACTTTTGTGTCATCTGAAAAAAAAGTTAATGCAGTAGTGATTTCATTCAGAGTAACGACATTTTCAGGTTAAAGTAACACCTCCATTGCCATCTAGCCAAACTCAAGGACATAACAGACTGCTCTTCAAAAACATAAAGAGAGAGACAAAATAAAAGGACTTACCGGCAACAGCTTGAATTGCTACATAGCAAGAGCTCCCGTCCCTCACAGCACACAGTACAATATGATTGATATCCATCATCATCGTACATATAGAACAGCTCTAGAAATCTATCCTGGTTAGAGAAAATGGGAAAATAGAAACACGTCTGGGAAGAATTGCCTTTAGGTCCCAGAATACTGACTCCCACCCACCCACTGAATACCTAGATAGGGTTAAGAGGCTGGTCTATATCCATGGAATCCATTAATCCTTTAGTGAGGTGGTTGACTGGAGGGAGGGGCGGGGTGGGGGAGGGGCTCAGAGTGAACAGAAACTCAGGATCTTGGCCCTATTCTAAGGAATAGAGCAAATCAGGAACAAGTAACATGGAAATCTACACAGAAGACAACAGGTGGACTATAAGAAGGCAAACCCATGTATTTTCCAAGACTTACTTTACATGTATGACAGAGGCCCCCCTCAAAGAGAGGATGAAAGGAGAGTGGGTTTTTTCTTCCACAAGCTATGCAGTTATCTATAATACACACAAGAAGGGAAGGGGAGATGAAACGAGGTTGATACATCAACAGGAATGATAACCATTCCACCTGAAATGTACTCATAAACTCGCCAATAAAAGAATTTAGATATGTGGTACTCCAAACTCAGAGATCAGCAGAAACAATGCTCTGATTTGGGGGAAGGGGAAAAGAGGAGAAATTAATCCACTCTGCTTTGGAACTCATGCCCTGGATGTTAGATATCTGGTGATAGAGTACAAATTCACTAGTCTACTCTACGTAGCGGGCCCCAGCCCAGGAATCATTATTAACCAGTTAGTCATGCCACCTGCTTATCTTACCCCTTCTTCCACTTTATGTTCTCAAAATAGGGGCTGTCAACTGACTGCTCCATGGATCAACTCCCCATCTGTGTCATTCACCATATCCCAAACGCCATTCCCACTACAATAGTCTCCTACACCACTCCCTAATGCGTACTGTCTTTCCTTCTAAGTTCCTTGAAGGCTTTTATTTGTCTTCATAGTGCTTGGTAAGTATTAATTCCAGGCACTACTTACCAAAGGTAGGTGATCTATAAATGGAAATTTTTAGCTCAGAACAAATATAATCTTCCAAGGAATCATAAAAAATAAAACCACTCAGACACACAAAAAAGGAATTCAAAGACAATTATATGAACTGATGCCAAGTGAAGGAAGCAGAGACATGTAAATCCAAATAAATGCTAGGAAATTAAAATGACCAAGGGATAAGAAAAGCCATCTCTTCCCCTCCCATCTCTGCCCTTCCAAAGTAAGTGAGGGTGGGGTGGGAAAGGCATAGCTACAAAACACGGTATACAATATCATAAGGGATGAGTCTGTGGGCAGGAAGGGATACATAAAATGGAGTATCTAGGTGCTGTAAAAACAGATGACTTCGATAATTTTTTCTAAATTTATACCTATGTGTCTAATTCAATACCTATATGAGGGGCAGGGGAAAAAGTAGGGAGTGGGAGAGGAACCAAACCAGTACTTCCAATTACAGAATGACACTAATCATCTGTGCCTTGAGATATAATGTGGCACTCATACAAAACAGACCTCTGGGGGCAATCATGTCTTTGCTTCCAAATCTCTAAGCAGCTTTTTGCCCCCATTAACTTCCCCACTTAAATGAAAAAAGACTGGTTAGAGGGAAGGGGAAGAGTAGGATTTCAAAAATGCCTTCCTTTAAGATACACATCTAGTCCCTTGGAATAGTAACTTAGCAATGGATGTTAAAAAGGTTTAGTCTTTTGAGCTCTAAAACTCACGTCTGAACACTAAATTAGGGTGGAGAAAAAAACCATTAAAGATGTGGAATCAAAGACATCTTTAACAACAACCTAAACCCCTTTTGACACATGAGGTGGTTCCCAAGTCAAATGAGGATAACACTTGTAACTCTCTACTTCTGAGAAATATTCACAGTTACATGCGTACCATGACTACTTCTTCCCTTTAAGAAATCTGGTCTAGCAAACCTGCAACTTGCTGAAAGTCCTCTCCGATTCTCAAAGGCTCTTAATATTACAGAACCAGACACTGCTCTGTCCACTGTAACACCCCTGACCTTCTAGATTGCCTCCCAATACCAAATCCTCAAACTTCAGAGTCATGTTTTTCAATCTCTACAACCAGCTCCTTGGACAAGGTCTAAACACTTCATACTTGGGTCTAGCATCAGCAATTCTTGGTCTGGACCTAGTCACCTGTGATTTATGACATTCCTTATGGCTAAACTCATTATTTCTCTCCCTATACAGTTTCTCTGTTCCATCATTACTGACAACCTATTCATTCCATTAATTTCCTGGCTCACTACTCTTGCTCTGCTTAGTCGATACCTGACAAAAAAATAAATAATGATGAGCTCATTTCTCAACAGCGGCTACAATTTTCTTCACTTTCCACACACCTGCCCTAACCAGGGGCACCTACTCCTCTCTCCAAGGCAGGGTAGGACCAAGCACATCAATGTTTACCCCAGTCCATACTTAGATTTTTAAAATATACTGTCAACTTGAGGCAGGGAGAACAGCTGACGACAGTCTCCAGGAAAAGATTTTTTGCATTACGGATCAGGGGATGAGGTCTGGATTCTAATCCTAGATGTGGAATTAACTTTTTTCTCCTACTCTTACAGTCTCGTCTTTTCTGTGCCATCCTCTGTAAAATAAGGGGGCTGAACTAGATAACCTGAAAATATTCTGTTCTAACAGTCTGTTTTTGCCCCTTGTAGCTCTAAACTTGTATTAGTCTGATGACAACCAATACCAACTATATTCCAGGGACCATTAGCTGCAATATAGGAGTAAGATCAGAATTACAACATAGCAGGCTCACTGGGAAAATGAGGCCAGGAAAGTGAAGTGTCTCCCCTATAATCATTTAAATACTCGAGGTGGAATTTGATCCTAGGTCCTCTTCATTCTTGTTTTCAGAGCCAATACTTTTGTTTTGGCTTGGTTTGGTTGGTTGTTTTTGAGGCAATCAGGGTTAGGTGATTTGCCCAGGGTTACAAAGCTAGTAAGTATCTGAGGCCAGATTTGAACTCAGGTCCTCCTGACTCTAGGGTCAGTGCTCCATCCACTGTGTCATTTTGCTGTCCCTGCTAATATTCTTTACACTGCACCAAAACACCTCCTTCCCGTCCTCACACCTGCTTCCACTTATTCAACACTGCAAAACAGCAAGGAAACACTTATTCAGAGTAAGTACACACCACTGTCCAGACCTCAATTCACTCTATCAAACATTTTTATCAAAAAGGTAGGACCTCCCTTTCAAATAGGAGTTATCTGGCCCATATTATTTCTTATAGCAACACCCAACAACTCACATTTCCATGGCAATGCTAAGACTTGGAAAGGTTGGGGCAGCTAGGTGGCGAAGGGGATAGAGTTCTGGCCTTGGAATCAGGAGGACCCGAGTTCAAATCCAGCCTCAGAAACATAAAACTCACTAGCTGTGTGACTCTGGGCAAGTCACTTAACCCCAGCTGCCTCACCAAAAAAAAAAAGCCTTAGAAAGGTTTCCATCACAACCAATGGCAGGGTCATATCAACTTTACAAGGAGCAAACTGAGGCTCAGACAGGAAGTGATTTGGTCAATGTCCCATAGCTGAGTCCCCCTGCCAATCCTCCTGCTCACTCTCATCACACTATACATATATACTGTCTGAGCACAGAAAATGAGCTACCATAATTTCCTATAACTTGCACTTCAGAGAATATAACCTCTTTGAGGGCAGAAACCCATTGGGGTCTTTATAACCCAGCAGCTAGCACACATACTATAACACAAACTAGAAACAGACTCCTTGTTCAACTGAATTCAGAGGTTCTAAGACACAATTTTTTTTTCCAGAGCAGGTATCTCATTCAATGCTTTAGCCACCTAATACCACAAGCCTTGGAAGCAGCAGGTGGTATAGTTAACATTTCCTAGTTGTGTAACCCTGGGCAAGGCACTTAACTTCTGTTTGTCTCAATTTCCTCATCTGCAAAATGGCAATAACTACAGCAACTACTCCCCAGGGTTGTTGTGAGAATCAAATAAGATAATATAAAAGCTTAGCACAGTGATCAGCACATAACAGTAAAAAGTGCTTGTTACACACACACACACACACACACACACACACACACACACACACACACACACAGAAATTCTGCAAGGAATCAAATCTGGATAAGACCAAGTAAGGTAGCACTGCATGCATATAAAAAGACATCTTACCATCAGGGTTGCTTTTGTTGTTCATGATGTCAGAAACCATTTTTTCTGAATAAACAAGAAATTTGGGTGAGGGAGAGTAAGAAATGGTTTGGTTAACATCTTACAAGCTTTTGTGACACTCACCTTATGATCTTATTTTTGACAAGGAACTTAGTTTATATAAAAAGTAGTTAATAGCAATGATAATAATAAACTCCAATGAGCATGATTTTGCTCTAATATTGCTATCCCCCCACAGAGAAGATGGATATCCATTGAGAGAAAAGCCAGACTGCCCTCACCCCATTACTCCAAAATGAACTCAACCCAGAAGCTGAATGTCAACAACAATCACCTCTGCTTTGCTCTTCCTCTACCCGCTCCTTGTTGTTATTCATGCAGCTGGTTCTCAGGCGTTTAGGAGGAGGAGGAATGCTATCTTGGACAGCAGCTTCCTCCAGAGTCCTTCTTCTCTGTTTGGGTTCTACAAAAGATTACTCATTTAACCTGGGAGACTGGACTGGAAGCTAGACCAGACTTAAGTCCCCAATATTCCCAAAGACAATCATACCCATGCTAATTCATCAAATAAAGCCTGGCATCAAACACATCTGTGAACCTACCTATGTACATAGTAAATGCTCAGGAAAAAACAAAACACTATGAAACCAAAACATGGACCACATTGACATATTTCTCTGCAAGAGTGAGAGTCTTATATTAACTCTTCTTTAAACCTAGGATTAAGCACCTAAATTTTCTATTGGGGTTTTAGCAAAACCATCATCTCCTTCAACTGTGATGGAGACCCAAGGATTACTCCCATGAGGAAACAGGAAAGACTGATAAACTGTGGCTACCAATAACATGCTAACTGTGATAATACTATCTGCTTCCATGAGCCTTCCTAATAACCCTCTTGCCAGACTATCCTTCTCAAGTCCACAGCTCTTTCTTCATATCTCTTTAAAACATATTTGGGTTACTAGATGAAAAGCTTGGAGGACAGGAAGAGAAGAAAAGTCCTTCTGTATTTGCTATGCATCACAGTAGAGTTGGTTAAGTCAAAGAAACCTTTTCCTCAATTTGGAAACAGTGTTCTATACACAGGAGGTGTTTATTTCATAAGTATGATGATGGAAACCACACAAATCCAAATGAAACACAACTCCTTGGCTTCTACTCCTCAACTCTTAAGAAACCCTATCCAATCATTAGAATCCATTGCAAAGACCAGAGATGATCATGGCCTAAGCCATAATTCCAACCTGGAATGATATGTCTCTCTGATTTCTTTTTTGGTTTGAGTCCCTCTTCTCCCATTGGCTGGAAGCCTCCATGAGCCCACTCTAACAAGGGCTTGAGTTTTTCATCCCATGGGGCACCAGGAATGGCTGGCAAGGTCTTGCCAGCCCTGCTCTTGGCCATCTGCAAAGCAAAAAAATATATATTTTTATTTTTAATTAATTTATTTACTTTTAGTTTTCAACATTCACTTCCATAAGCTTTTGAATTTTACAATTTTCTCTCCTTCCCTCCCCTCAAGATGGTATGCAATCTGATATAGGTTCTACATATACATTCATATTAAACATCTGTACATTAGTCATGTTGTAAAGAAGTATTAGAACCAATGGGGGGAACCACAAGAAAGAAGAAACAAAACAATAGAAAAAAAGAGATCAACGAGTATGCTTCCATCTGCATTCAGACTCCATAGGTCTTTCCCTGGATGTGGACAGCATTTTCCATCATGAGTCTTTTGGAGTTGTCTTAGATACTTGCATTGTTGAGAAGAGCCAAGTCTATGAAAGGTAGTCATTACACAATGTGGCTGTTACTGTGTACAATGTTCTTCTGGTTCTGCTCACCTCACCCAGCATCAGTTCATGTAAGTCTTTTCAGGTTTCTCTGAAGTCCACTTGCTCATCATTTTTTTATAGCATGATAGTATTCCATTACATTCATATACCACAACTTGTTCAGCCATTCCCCAATTGATGGGCATTCCCCTCAATTTCCAATTCTTTGCCACCACAAAAAGAGCTGCTATAAATATTTTTTGTACATGCGGGTCCTTTCCCCATTTTTATGATCTCTTTGGGATACAGCCCTAGAAGTGCTATTGCTGGGTCAAAGGGTATGTACAGTTTTATAGCTCTTTGGGCATAGTTCCAAATTGCTCTCCAGAATGGTTGGATCAGTTCACAACTCCACCAACAATGCATTAGTGTTCTAATTTTCCCAAATCCTCTCCAACATTTATCATTTTCCTGTTTTGTCATGTTAGCCAATATGATAGATGTCATGATTTGCATTTCTCTAATCAATAGTGACTTACAGCATTTTTTCATATGCCTATAGATAGCTTTAATTTCTTCATCTTAAAACTGTGCAAGGCAAAATTTTTAAAATTAACACTAGGGGCCAAAAAGGATGGCTCAGTCAGCTGCTTCACGAACAACCATCTCAATCAATCAAAAGTGAATGTTGCTGTTAATAACTTGGCTATTCTCAGCAACACAATGATCCAAGACAGTTCTGAAAGACTAATGAAGAAAAATGCTTTCCATCTGCAGAGAAAGAACTGATGGAGTCTGAATGCAGATTGAAGCATACTTTTTCTTTAATTTCTTTATTTTTCTTGGGTTTTTTTATTTGTGTATTCTTTCTTTCACAAGATGAATAACATGGAAATGTTTTGCATGACTACACATGTATAACCTATTTGCTTGCCTTCTTAATGGGGGGGAAGGGGAGAGAGGAAGGAATTTGGAACTCAAAAATTTCAAATGTTAAAAAAATTTTTTTCCTTTTTCCTTTTTTCTTTAAATTTATTTATTTTTGTTTTCAACATTTACTTCCATAAGATTTTGAATTCCAAATTTTCTCCCCATTTGATATAGGCTCTACATATACATACATATTGAATCTATTTTCACGTTAGTCATGTTGTAAAGAAGAATAAAAAATTGTTTTTCTATGTAATTTGTGGGGAAATTTTTTTTTTAAAAATGAATTTGCAAAATAATCAAAGGACAAGAATGGGTCCCAAAAAAGAAATGAAAAGGCCCCAACTCCTTTTTAGAGGTGCCAGGACTATGGATGTGAAACATTGAAAGTAATTTCAAAGTTTTTTGTTGTATTAATTTTTCTTTTTTTCTTAAAAAGCATTCTTTGTTAAAAAAGACAGCTCTCTGAAAGGTTAAGGGTCTCTACCTTGACTTATCAAAACATAAGATATCATAAAAAATTAACTAAATGACTACATACAGGGAAAATTTTGGATTAGGGGGAAGATCAAAGGGAATTCCGATATGAATTCAATGAGTCAACCCTAGAACAATAGGATACAACGGTAATCTCAAGACTTACAGAGAGGTTTTGTGTCCAAAATGAATAAGGAGATGGTCTTGCTAGTCCCTGACCTGGTTAGACCATCCATATACTGGGAGTTGTAGGCACCACATTTTTTTTTCTTTTGCTAGGCAATAAGGTTAAGTGACTTGCCCAGGGTCACACAGCTAGTGTTATGTGTCTGAGGCTGGATTTGAACTCAGATTCTCCTGACTCCAAGGCCGGTGCTCTATCTACTGTAGCTGTCCTAAGGCACCATACTTTAGAGGGGAAGCTGACAAGATATAGAATGTGTGCCCAGGAATACAGCTTGGAGAGACTATATTTTAAGTATGTACTAAAAGAACAGGGTAAGTTTTATCTGAATAAGATTAGCAGGCAGTGGGGGTTGGTGAAGAAGGAAAGAAATAGGAGACATGACTAATCACAATCTAAAATTTAGAAGGCTTAAATTTGTTCTGCTTGGCCCCAGAACAGAAGTATAGGAGTTGCAGACAAATATTGGTTCAACGTAAGGGAAACCTTCCTAACAGACCTATCTGAAAGTTGAATTAAGTTCTCAGTCACTGGAAGGTCTTCAAGCAGATGCTCTGTGGATCTTTCCTGCACTACACTCATGCTACTTCCCACAATGGATGCTGCCTTGAGAGTCACAGCACTTGTTGGTATACTTCAACTTGGAATCAAGTTCTTACCCCACAATCTCATGTGAACACTGACTTCATTCACAGGAGTGTCTTGCAAGCACAGCTGCTGGAGTGATATGTGGGGGGTGAGGGGGGTTGTTGAGCAAAGGGGAAAAGAAACATGTAAAGCTGAGGATTCCATAAGGGGGTGTGGCTGGTTAGCTTTGCCAACCGAGGGAGAGTGGTTAGTGACAGAAGAGAACTCTCACACTAAGGTTTTTCCCCATATGCACTAGTCACAAATGAGGAATTTGGGGTTGGGTCAAGGCCCTCCAGGCCCGAGCAGAAGCTTTCAAAAAAAAAAAAAGGCAGCCCTAACATCATCCTGAATAAAGCTAGATACAACAGAAGCTGACCTTGGGCAAATCACATCACCAGCTATAGAGGGAGACTAGATCACATTCCCTTCCACCTACAGCCTTTTGTGTTCTAAGGTCCTTGGGGGGGGAAGAAAAGTATTGGCACAGTGGATTTAGAAAAAAGCATAGGTTGACTGAAAGACCCAAGTTTACCAGTTCAAAAAACTTATTTGTAAATATTTTTAAGTCTCTTAATATCAGTGATGATTAGTTTACCAATCCATAAATGGGGATAAATAACACCCAAAGCCTAGGGTTACTATGAGACAAGTTCTTTCCTAAGGCCCTTTCCATCTGTATCTAACATCCCTCCCAGTTCTAACATTCCATGAGTGTACCCTAACAGGCAAGCAGTCAAGGCAGTGATTCCCTTACGCCAGAAGTTAAGTTTCTGAAAGAGCATAAAGAAGTCAGAAGCAGCCAGGATAAAGGGAGAACCTTGAGGTTCCTCAGCCTGATGCTATCTATGTTCAATGAAAAGAACAAACAGTAGAGCCTATATCAGATTGTATGCCATCTTGGGGTGGGAGGAGGAGAAGGGGAGAAAATTGAAAACTCAAAACCTCATGGAAGTGACTGTTGAAAACTAAAAATAAATTAATTAATTTTAAAAAAATAACGACTTTGGAATAATTTTGCTACTTACTACCTTTTTACAAGTCAGTTCTCCCTGCTGAGACTTAAGTTTCCCCCTACTAAAAGGGAAAGTCAACTAAATAATCTCCCAGTTCTAAATCCTGTGATGATTGCCTATGACTGTATGATTTCTCTAAGCCAGGCCTGCACAACCTGCAGCCTCCGGGCATGCCAAAGGATTTTGGGCAGCCCACGAAAAATTTAGAGGATATTTCCTCTACATTTTTTACAGGCCACTTGAAATACTTTGGCAGGTCACAGGTTGTATAGGCCTGCTGGACTAATCTTCCCTAAATGTCTTTTCTGTTTCTCTTACTCAATATCAAGGAAAACTCATTACTTTCTACCTACCCCAAAACTTCCCCAGTTAACAAACTCAATAACAATCTCTGAGGAGGTGAATTAGATCTCCCTATGTGGGTTCAACCAAATGTCTCTATGTATTCATGACATCCCATAACATCCCATGACACTCTCCCACAATTACCTCCAGGGCTTGGAATAAAGCCTTTCTGTAAGATACCAGCTTGTTAAATGTAGGTAAATTAAAGTGTTGGCTAAATAATGCAAGGCTCACTAACTTGTCTGAGGGGACCTAAAAAGAGAAAACAAAATGTTACATTATAGACACACATATAGCTGCAAATCCACTCAAAATCAAAACCCTAGGCTTTGCCTCCATAAAAGAAAAGGTATCTACAGATGAGGAGATAACCTCAGGTCCTCTTCCTTCACCTGTGATTTTGAACTAAGACTTCAGGTCCTCCTGAATCTGAATCTACTTAAGATCATTTAGAGATTCTATAATGGCTATTCAGTGAATGAAGGTTATGCCCCATACACTGGGTATCACCTCCAGCAGCTCTCAAATAACTTCAACCCCTGTTCTCACCTTAAGCAGAGAGGAGGAGGAGTTAGCAGCACCATAAACATGTGAGCAGAGAGTAAGAGAAGGGAACAGTATGTTAACACCAATACTGGCTGGTTCCAGAGACTCAAGCATTAGTTATATAGTGGTTATCATCTGAAATGAGGAAATCTCAATCACCTCCAGGATCTGCTCCATTTGGATGATCTCAACAATGGAATGACAGTAGGATAATAAAGGAAATGAGTGACAAAAAACCTGAGCCTTCTTTAACATTAACCAAGTACTTTAATTTGGGCAATCAACATCTCTGGAATCTCCGCTTACATCTAGTTTATTCTAAATTATTCTTTTTTTTTTCTTTTCGGTGAGGCAGTTGGGGTTAAGTGACTTGCCCAAGGTCACACAGCTAATAAGTGTCAAGTGTCTGAGGCAGGATTTGAACTCAGGTCCTCCTGACTCTAAGGCCAGAGCTCTATCTACTGTACTACCTAGCTGCCCCTGTTCTAAATTATTCTTACACTACATCTTTTATGGGACAATACATATTTGCTTTCTATGGATCCAGGCCAGCAGGGCTTATTAAAAACTTCCTTTTTAATTCATCTGGAAATATTCAATGGAAAATATTCTAGGGAAATGGATTGATCACAAGAAGGCATGACTCCTAGAGGGGAAGAGGCAAAGAAGATTAAATGACTATTTTATTAGATAAGAGTAAAATGTCAACCTAAAACCATATTTTAAAATACTGTGACCTTTTCCTCAGTCCAGATTCCTGTAATTTTAAGCTCAAATTGTCTTGTGTTTGAGATATTACCAAGAGTATGAGGGGATATCTCTCTTAGCAAGTAATGCTCAGATAGAAATGCTCTTAATGTTAGCTTAATAAATTTGTTTCTGGAAGACTGGTGCCTAAAACTCAGTGTTTCTTTCTCCAACATGTCCATATAAAGCCATATGGCTACATGTGTATAAGTATGTATTTATTTAGATTTAGAGCTACAGGGTATCTTGGATACCTCTTTTCACATTTTACAAGTATAGATCCAAATTAAGAAATCTAGATCCCTTAACCTCCTGATATCTCTGTATTCCCATACTTCTCAAACACATATTGAAGTTCAATCTTGCTCTTTAGCAAGGGAGAATAAGCTATTTCACTTTGAATTAGGAGAAAAGTTCTGGAATCTAGGCTTGGTCCCAATTCTTTGACCCAAAGCTCCCTCTGGTGGCTCATGTAACTACAACCATGATTAATTTCTACTTTATTGCTCCTGGCATTTTGATTAGAAATATTTTCAAGAAAGTCGATGGGGATTCTTTCTTTTAGCACACAATTCTCTTAAAATGTTGATATTTTTTCTATCTTTCAAGCCTCCCCCCCACTTCTGACAGACCTCTGATCTAGCCCCACTGCTACTGCTACAGTTGTCCTTGTACCCTATGGCCTGGAGCCGTAGAGGCCATGAACCTAAGAACACAGCCACTTATATTTGGAATTCCTACCCAGAGACCAGGCTGACTGGTGCATGCAAACTCACATAGCTTGAAGATTACACACTTCAGTGACTTAAGTACTATGACCTCCTACTATGCCACAAAAGTACTGCTCCCTGATTACCATCTTCTCCATGGGAAAATAGTAATCAAACCCACAGTATCAGTGACTCAGAAAAGGGCTTTGTCAGTTGTACAGCCTATGGCTCCCATAATTACCCCTTCTGACTTACCAGACCAAGAACCTGTAAGGCCATTACTTTCCTTTATACCTTGTATCTGAATGAAAGCTCCTTGAGGGCAGGAACTATCTTCTCTTGAATTTTTATGCCCAGCAGTTGGCATGGGCAAGTAATTAGGACTTAATAAATGCTTTTGCTATGCCACCATGGAAAAGGTCAAAGGGGGGAAAAAAGGAGGAAAGGCCAAGATTTATCCTCATAACTTTAAAAACCTTGTCATGATATCTTTGTCCACCTCACCATACAGGCTATTAATCTGAATGCACATGTGATGTTTTTAAAATTTCAAAGCAATTTACATCATTTCATTTTGGACCTTACAACCCGCTGGGTCTGATGTTTGAAAGAGGCCTGGAGAGAAAATGGAATGCCCAAAGCAACTGAACCGAGAGCCGAACATTCGCCCCCTTACAAGGGTGTCTTCTCAGGCACCAAGGCACTACACTGCCAAGATCAGGAACATACCTCAGAGTATTTGCCATCGCCAAACCACTGTACCCATCTCATGCCAGGGACGGCCTGGCGCTTTGTGTTAGATTTCCAGGAAACCACAATAGCAGGCCACCAGGAAAAACCTTTAATCTTTCCCCAGACAAGTTCACCAGTGTGAAACTCTTTTCCATCCTGAAAATCAATTACACAAAATCAGAGGGATAGCAAGACAAAGGAAGTCAAAGTCAACCAGTGGAGTCTATCTACTTGATTATCCCCGTATCAGCTCCTCCCACTCCCACCAGCCTGCAAGATGCTCAAGGTCATTGCTTCAAAGTCTTCTAGTTCATGTGGCCGAAACTCTGAGTGCAGCAGGAGCCAGATTAAAATGAATGAGGTGATGTTTGGCAAAATAAATAAAAATACATTATTACATGTTAATTTGCGGTTTTCTGATTGAATATGCCTCCCACAGAGATCCATTTCTATTGGTGTTTTTAACACTCCTGCCCTAGTTCACCCTCTCATTTTTTAGAGGTCGTAAAGTTAAAAGACTTGCCCCAGGTCACAAAGCATGAACTGAATTGGGAGAAGAATCCTGGTTTTGAGACTTATTTGTTTCCATCATACCCTGCAGTCTTACACTGAGCAAGAAGAGACAGCTCCTTTCCAGAAGAAAAGCAACCTAGGACTTTAAAAATCCCTCCTGGATCCTCGTTTTCTTCACCACAGCCCGGCCCCATCCTCATCCTATGTACAGCGTCTCAATTACTCCCTCTCGTGTCTGCATCTTTCCTTAGCTAACATCACACGTCTAGAATTCATTCCCTCCTTTTCACCTCTTCCAAAACCTTAGCTTGGCTTGTGATTCAGCTCAAGTAACACCCCTTCCATGGGGCTTTCCCTGGCTGTGGCTGTCTTCCTCCCAAGGTTACCTTGTATCTACTTTGTATCTAATATTGCACAGAACTATATGCATATATATATATATAGCCTCGAACATAGAAGGATATTTCCTTGAGTTCAGTACACTTTGATTTTTGTTTTTGTATTTGCAGGGGCCAAGACAGTACCTAGCATATGATAGGGTGTTTAATAAATGCTTAATGTTTCAGTAGAGGTTCGAAAGGGTTACACTTAGTGACGATGGTCTACTTCACCTCCAACAGGAGGTGATACTGAGATGGCCATTCCACATCATACCTGGTATTCCATCTGATTAGGGCTCTCTAAAAGCACACTTGGGGAACCCAGAGAATGACGACGTCTTTCTCGAGCACTACGCCTGGTGGTCGTGTTGCTCCCAAGGTCATCGGTGAGATCAATGGTGAGGCAAGAAGAGTTCAGAGAAGACTGGATACCAGTGGGCAGGGTGCCAGTGGACCGACGCCTATTGCTCTAGAATGACACAAATCAAAATGGTAGAACAAAAGGATCCAGCCTGATAAAAACACTGTCATCAAAAAGTGATCAAAGGGTTCAACACTGTCAAGGTCAAAGCCAGGGTGAAGATGGTAGATCCAAAAACAAAGGTAAGGCAGTGGGGAAAGATTCCAAAGAACAGATTAGTAAAAAATAAACTCATAACAACTTATTGGTCTTTAGGCCAATTCTAGTTAGAAGGATAAGAACCAGACCTGTGAATTCATCAATAAAGGGGACTCCCACATGGAGAAACTCCTAATTCAGTCCTAACTGAAACCAAATCTTCTTGGCTTTGAGGCCATTTTTCTAACAAATAAACTATGAGTAGAGGTGAGGGAAAGAGGTAAGGAAAAACCCTTGAACTGACTGAAGGTTAGAGGAGAAATTAGGGAAAAGAATGAAGCAAGTGGGGTATATGTAAAAGCCCTGAACCCTGAGTAAGACCAATGAAAAGCTCCTTAAGTGTGTAGAGGGGAGATAACATTCTAGCCCCAGGGCAGCTAGGTGGTGCAGTGGATAGAGCACCAGCCCAGGAGTCAGGAAGACATGAGTTCAAATCCAGCCTCAGACACATAATACTCGCTAGCTGTGTGACTCTGGGAAACTCACAACCCCAACTGCCCCCACACACACACACACACAAAGGGCAATGGACAGGTGAGGGGGGCATAAAATGTTTGTAGGAAATGCTACTTAGACAGACAAATAGGTCTGGCTACTTTTCAAGGTTATTTTGTATAGTATCAAACCTTAAGATCTTTCTGGCCTAGAACTGAGTAGCTCCTGAAGACCACCAAAGGTAACAGGATTAACTGATCACCCATAAATCAGGTGAAACACATCCACAGTTATGAAGAGGTAGAAGACAGAAGAAATGTCACAGGAAAAGGAAGAAGAAAAAGTGACCACTCTCCAATGGCCCTGGGGGAGAGAAGGGAGTCACTGACCAGACACGATGCCCTGCAGCCCAAAAGAAGCAGAAGAGATATGAGTACTTGCTCATTTCCAGTGTTGAACCCACATGCTCACCAGGAGACCGAGAAAGGCACCAAATGGCAACGGGAAGAGAGGACTCTTCAAATGGAGGAAGACGGGCCTAGATCTCCTTCCTCACTCTCCAACTCAGAAATCAAATGGAAGGGGAAGGGGGGAGGGGGGAGGCCAGGGGACTGTGCCTTTGGCAGAACCAACCCTGGTCACAGGAGTCTCTTTGAAGTCAGAACTGATATCTTCAGTTTCTTTCCTGCTGGCCTTGTTCTGCTCAGCCCGTGAGGCCAGGCGTGGGGGAGGTCTACGTCTTCCCCACTCAGTGGTACTCTCCTCACTTTGGGACTGGACCTGGAACCAAGAGAGGACATGTACAGGGTCTCAATAAAGGACCTGGCTGGACTAAAAGGAAAGAAGCAGGGACAACAAAATTCTATCATTACATCTTTCATCAACAGCAAGAGCCCAGGATGTTGGGAGTGTTATCACTTTTCTTATTGGGAGATTAAGTACCACAAAGGGATGTAAACAGATGTTCTCTAAGCAGGTTTTTGGAAAGATTCCCTTACTCTCCGCCAAGCATAACTGGACCCTTCCATAGAATACTCCCTCTTCCCCAACAACTACCCTCCCCCACACACAAAATGTCCTATTTTCCAGAAAAGGCCGAATTCCTTAATTTTAAATGGCCAAGACTAACTCAGTGGTGGGTTATCAAGAGATATGATCAATGTCCAAACCAGCTGATTATCCACTCAATACCCACAGCTTAAGAATTCTTTGTGGGGTTTGGGGGAAGTCCAACTGTGAGAGTAGTCACAAGAGGCAATAATAATTTTGCAAGCTGGTTGGACTCACAACCTTAGGAATACCAGCAGTCTTATTATGTATTCTCTACAAGAAGAATCAAGAAGTGAACCCTTTTCTAAAGAAAAAAAAAAAAATCAAGGCTTCTAAGAACCTGAGGTCACATTTTAAAAAAAAACTTTTAAAAAGAAGACTCTAGTGTAATTTCCATTCTTTTTTTAAATCATAGGTAAAATGAAGCTAAATCGGTTGCAATTAAGTATTAATTAATTAATTAATTAAGCTAAGCACCAAATAAAATACTCGGGTAGGAACTGGTCTTGGGAATCAAGAAAACTGGGTTCATACACTGGGATCAGATTCAGAGCAAATCCCTTCATCAAGCCTTCAGATTCTCATCTGTATATGGTACAGATGTACATCAATGTACAATACTATTTGCTCTTTCTATTTTACTCTTTTTTATAAAAGTACTATAAAGTTGTGTTATTACTTAGTACAATAAAAATTAATGCTACAAACTCAGATTTCAAACTTGGAAATTTTGGCGTGGGTACCTAAATCTTTCTTGATTCTCATTTTTCAGCTCAGATATGCTGGTTTAAGTGCCCATGGGATCTAGGTACATGGTGTGACATTTTCTGTGGACATGTTCCAGTTATTTATTGATCAGCTCAAGATTTTTTTGCATCACACAGTTCTGTCTGTTCAGGTTCAAGGATAACTTACATTTGAGCTTTTGGGTTGAATCTTGGTTTCTCTGTATAGCTTTGGCATCACAGGGATTTCTGATACCTCTGAGTCATCTGTCAGGTCCTTTTACAGAGAACAAATTTGCAAGTTTTCATTTTTTTAAAGGAATAGGACCCGAAAAAAATCCTTCTTTCCCCACTAACACTCACAATGAAGTTTGATTTAAAGTGACATAACATTGAGAACTAAACTAATATTTCCTTAGTAGTCCATACCCAAATATAGATGCTATGAGGATAGACATTATAATCTGGATAGGAAGGCACACAGGAAACGTCAGCAAATCTAAGCAGACCCCAGTGTGACACTAGGAAAGATAAGCCCAATGAAAACTGTGTTGGACTTGGCAGTCAGCAAGATCTGGGGGTCAAGTGCTGCCACTGGGCACTTACTAGCTGTGTAATCATAGGCAAGTCACATAACTTCTAAGTCTCAATGTCCTTACCTATAAAATAGGAATAGTAATACCTACCTCATCACATTATTTGTGAGGAGGCTCAAATGAGAAAATAACTCTAATTCAAGTGCTTTAAAGTCACTAACGCGCCATTAAAAAATGTTAATTGTTAAATATTGAAGACTGACTCAACCAACCATTACGCCAATTTGTAAACAAGACTTCCATATAACCCTTTTCTATGAAGATTTGGAGGATACAAGCCCCACCCCCCAAAAAATCAATGTGTATTTTAGTACTTGTACAATCATCCTATCCTTAGTGTCAGAGCAAAAAAGTGAATGAACCCAGGTCAACCCGCACCACTGAAATCCAATGCTCTGTCTACCCTCTTCTTCTGCAAGGGCCTCAGGGAATGAATCATGAGAGCTAGAAACAGTTCTCATAGGCATCTCATCTGCCTCATGCCTAGAACTGGAATATCTCCTACAACATCCTTGTCAAGTGCTCAGGAGTCTGGCGTTACAAACCTTCCGTGATGGGAATAACATCAGTATCTCCTACGATAGCCCATACCTGCTTGGACAGCTCTCACTGTTAGGAAGCCTCAATCTGCCTCTCCATTGCCCCTGGTTCTCTCACTTCTGAGGCCAAACAAAAGAAGTCTAATCTCTCCTCTACTGGATAAGCCCTTTCCAACATCTAAAGGCATGATTTCCATCATCCTTACCAACCTAGACATTCCTTTAAAGGAGGTGGGGATGATATAGACCACACAGGGAAAGGGATTGGAGGAAAGGTTGAATTTTGGTGATGGGGCTAGGAAGGCAATGAGGAATCCTTGGGCAGTGAGGACCTTTGCTTGAAAAACCATTCCATTACCCTGGTTCTTGAGGTCCAGAGAATAATGATGTTGCCATTCTGGAAGGATGTGAGGAAAGGGCAGAAAGTGCAGGAGAAAAGAAGAATCCCAGTTATCTCTTACAATACTCCTGGCTCCAGGAGTATAGCTGGAAATCCAATGAATGGGGAGAGAAGCTTCCCCTTGAAATTGTAAAAGCCAACAAGGTCTCCTACCTTGTTATCAAGAAAGTACCTGTGTACTGATCCAGGCCCCTGAGCCCCTCGGGAGAAGGGCAAAGGGATAATGGGGTAAAGGACTCATTAGATGGGTACCTCATCGAAGGTGATCATATGAGAGAGTTCCCTTTTCGACAGTCCCCGTCGGCTTACCCTACGACCTGTGGAAGTAATAAGATGGTCACCTTGGCAAGGATGGCTATGGCATATGAATTTCCTTTGGCAGACTAAAATTTCCCTTGTTTTTTTCCCAAAAGGTCTCCATTCCACCCTAGGCCCTGTGCCCCAAAGTTACATCCTGCAATAAAAGAAAAGGTCAGTATGATTTATTCTGCCCCTCGCTTAACCTCCTCTGTTGCCTCATTTGCAAAAATGGGAATAATAAAGCTGGTGGGGAGGCAGATATTGGCTCTACAAACAAACAAAAATTAACAATTAGAGCTGTCCACAATGAAATAAATGGTTCCCCTCCAAAGGGTTTGTAAGAAAGCTATAACATGAGCATGAAGGCAGTATGGTATGGTAGAAATAATACTTGTCTTTAATATGACGAATCAAGAGCCTATTTCAGATCTGCCATTCACTAACTCTGTATGTGTGTATATATGACTTCAAGAAAGCTCTTCACCTCTGTGAGACCTTACCTGCCTTCTCTGTAATTCCAGTTTTATGTTTTTTTAAATTTTTGCTAAATTAAATTTTACTTGACTGTATTCATGGGGCTTAGCTTTAAAAAAGGTGCAGCCCCCTCATATTATACATATGGAAGGTGAGGCAATGGGAGGTCAGCATAAGGGACTTGTCCAATATCAAAGAGACAGTTAAGTTGTAGATTTGAACCCACATCCTCTGAATCCAAATGCTGTGCTTTCTTCTATTAATGCTTTGTAGTCTATTCTATTCTTTATAATACCATCTGCCAAGATTCCAAATGACAAATCAAATGAATTCCTACCCTAAAAGATTCTAAATGATGATAATGATGTCCAGTCTCCAACAAGTGGCCAAAACCCTTAGCCTAGTCCACATAAAAGATCAGGTCTCTAGGGGAGGTGTACACAATGTTCTCCTCCCCCCTCCCAATCCCCCTACTATGGAAGCCTCGACACTAGAGACTAACATGTCAAGATTCCCTAATTCCTTTGATGCGTAGCTGAGCTTTAATGTCTATCCTTTCAGGATGATGCCTATGATAGGAAATAGTACTCCAGAGGGAGTCCAAATAGAACAGAGGAAAGATTCCTCCCCTCATTCAAAATTTCTCTTCACAGTCTGAGATTTCAATCACTTTTTTTGATGGCCTATTAACATATCCTGAATTTTTCACAGGCAGTGGTCAACATTTTAAAGACTTGGCAGATGCCTAATAATAGTACCGCCTATATAAGCATTGTGAAATATGGCAGTCTGTGAATTCTCCAATTCTAAAGTGGCTCTCCCAGGATCCTTTCTTTTCTACAAATTCAACATGGTTGGATAGCATAAGAAGTCACCTGGAGACTCATCACTAACAAAACCCCAAGGATGCATTTAGACCATCCCTCTTCCAATTTTCTCAAATATCATGAGAACAAAGAAAGTAAATTACCTTTGACCTCCAGGCTCTCCACTGCTTCCAGGATTGGAGGAGAGAGAGTGTCATCATCACTGCCATTGACCAAAATAAATTCTTCTTTGTTGGTCTCTTCACCATTATATCTTCGAGTTTCTCCCTTCATTGTGCCCTATAGGGAATAGCATGGGGATGGGGTGGAGAGGAAGAACATATAGTAGACAAGGCTTTAAGGTTAGGATAAAACAACTCAACAAGACAATGACCCACAACTCTACTCCTAAAAGCATTCGATGTAGAGATTAGAATCATTCAGTAGTCAGAAAGGAAACCCCACCCTCCACGCATCATTGGTACTTGATCCATAAAGTGTCTTCACCATCCAACTTAAGAGGCCCCAGACCCAGCTCCATTGGACAGCAAAATCCCCACCACCAAGAATGGACTGGAGCAATCACGACTATGTAAGGAAACCAGGAATCAGTGTCTTATGGCGGTGAGGAAAAGGAAGAGAAGAAAAGTGGTGGGACCTGATTGCAGCTGTAGTGCCCCTCCTTCTACAAATACGGTCCAGGTTCTGACCTCCCCCTCTCAACCCTGAGAAAGATTCAATCCTATTCCACAAATTTCCTCTCCTCCTCTAATCACAGTCCTGGCCCCAAGCTCAGTCTCCTTGAATTTAAAGCACCAAAGCCATTTTTTTCTGTTAGTTTCAAGCCCCCTTCCTTTTAACTTCAGTGAATTAATATTCCTTCCTGACCCTGTTTCTTCTCTCCTCTTTCCCTCATTCTCCAGGTCTTCTTCTCTCCCTTCTCCTCTCCCAAAGAACCACCTTCTCTCCTCTCCATGGGAGAAGCCCTGCCTTAGACCAATCTTCTGGACCCAACTGGCTAAGATTTTTGTCTACCATTTTCCCTCTCCTTCCTCAGCAGTCTTCCCCAGCTGAGGCTCTAAGAATTCAAATTCTAAGGAGGAAGACAGAGTCACCAACAGGCAAGTGGCCAGAGGAAGAAGAATTTAAAGTAGGAAGGAGAGGTAAGGAGAGGATTTAAGACTGTCAACCATCCCTTCAGTAATTCTGAAGGACTTCTACTTTCTCCTGCCCCCAAAGACCTCAATAGAACACCCTCTTTTCCAGGCCCAGTCATATTAAAATTAGCCTTCAGCTCTAGCCACTACTATAATAGCCTCTTTAACTATCTTCAGGTCTCCAGGGTACTATTCAATAACCTTCATCGACTCCCAGAAGTCAGAGAAAAAAAAAAAAGAACTTCTTATGGCATTCAAGGCCCTTCACAATCTTGTTCCTGCCACCTGCCCGATCCTTTCTCCTTCCTGTCTTTCCTTTGCTTTGCTTTTTTTCCCCATATCTCCTCTGCCTGCACGAGCTGTGGGCATAAGCCCACCCACAACTATTTTTTTCTGTTTTAAATACTTCCTCTTTCTTAGGGTCATGATTCAAATACTATGTACAGTACTTCAGGAAGCCTTTACTGACATTCCTCAACCCAAAGAAGAAACTGATGGCCACTCAAATTAAAAAAAAAAAGTACTTCCTTTCCTTCTTTCAGAGGTAGAGGAACCACAGATATGGCACACTGCACACACTGTGAGACTTACATTGTTACAAGAGGAATATACTCAGAAATTAAGGTGACAAAGACATTTTAATGCACTCTCTCCTCAAACATCTTTGCCTGCTCCCCTCCTTTGTCTTTATCTCATGTTCTCTTCCACAGGTTCCATGACTAATGTCTTCCCTTTCCCAGAAATCAGGGTATGGTATATGAGAAAAGGTTCTCTCATATCCATATTAGCAGCACAGGGACCATTATATAGGTGCTTAATGAATGTATAAACATAATAAATAGAGAGCAGTTAAGAGGCAATTTTCCTTGAGTGAAACTTGAACCACATCACCACCCATTCACCCTTTCCAAGAAAAGTTCAAACCCCAGAAAACCCTTTCTTCAATACCATGACATAATCATCTGCATTCTCTCTCTGCTCCTGACTTCCCTGTAATATTTCATCTCTTATGTTTTACCCAGAATTTTACCCAAAAGGACCCTACTTCACAGACTTCAAACTTAAAAGTATTCTTATACCCATTTGAAAAAACTAAAGGTAGGTTTTGCCCAATGCCCAGATGTCCAGACTCCCAGGACAGGGTGCTCTTTCTACCTGGCCTACTTCTTTATCTAATTCATTTGCTATTCCTTGGGTACTTTTTTCTTACAGAAATCACTTGTTTCTTTGTTGCTGTCCAGGGTTACCTAAAGGGAAACTCTTTTTTATCTATCTCTCAGCCTGAGCCTGCCCCCCCCCACTCCTAACTTTAAAATCCCAGGAAGTTAGACTAGTAATATTCAAAGTCACCATTTCCTTGCATTTTACACTAAAGATTAGCTTCAATTCAATTTGGTAATCGTGTTCAGTTAGTTACCACAAGCATTCCCAATTACTTCACCTCCCTGAGGCTCAGTTTCCTCATTTGCAAAGTGAGATGGAGAGACTTGATCTGGGGTCCCTGATCTGGGGTCCCTAATCTGAGGTCCCCCTTCTAGGTTGTAGGAATCCTTCCCAAGGGGATAGTATCACATTCACGACTTAAGGGGCTGCCACACCCTGGGCTTGGCCCCCAGCTACGGATCTGACAGTGTGCTTTGGGCTAAGGGAACTTCAGTTCACCAAAGATCTCTTCTCCTAGCCTAGGGTAAAGGATAAGGTGAGAAAAGAGATGAAAATGAGGCTCTGAGTCAGCCTAATCCAACTCTCCTTTCCAGGGTCTTCTACCCCCCAGCAACACAAAGTTCACCTCTAGTTACAGAGTCGCCTTCCTTCCCTGCCTTAAGGGAAGAAGGTAGAAGGGATGGGGGTGGGGAGAGGGGAAAGGATCAGGTTGCATTAGTGGTCAAGTTCACAAGGGGGCGCCGTGTAGCACAAGCAGTAGGAGTACCAGAGCTCCACCTGTAGGAAATTCACAAAGTGGATGCTTCTGTCCTCTCTCACTCCACCCCACCTCCCTTTTTGAATCCCACCTAGGATTCAAGAATACAGACAGTTCACACAGTTCTTGCTTCATATAAGCAGACCTCTATAGTAAAGAGATTTTTACATAATGCAAATTTGCCCCTACCCATCCACTTCACTTGGCCTATATAACAAAGCCATACACAAATAATATTTTAGGATTAGGGAAATAACACACAAGTATTGTTGCCTTGCAGATTCCTTTCCATGCTCTGGGTTTTGCGAGTGGTGCACAAGAACAGGTTTTAATTTGCAAGTCTCTATGTAGATGCATCCCCTCAAAGCAGAAGAGTAACTCTATTTTTCAAAGTTTTATGCCCTGGCAAAGCTTTTTCCTCCAAGGAGACTGTAGGTTCAAGACAGCATTCTTTGATAAAACAGGCCAGTTTCAGCTACATTAAAGATTTGCTCCCACAAATAGGGACTTCTACCTATTATTTTTTGCAGGAATTCTGGCAACTTCTTTGCTACTTCAATATCTGTACCAGCAGCTTCTCCTGACACTTGCACATTATGAAATCCTGCATGATTTTGAAATTGAGCAAACCAACCACTTCTTTGCTGCAAACACCTGTGTTCCTTTGGAGTGCTTTACCTTTAAATCTTCAAAGAGGCTTCAAAAGCCTTGAATTGTCAAAAAGCTTAAAAAAATATTCTTTTGACTCTGGTCTTCTGTCCACATAATTAACAGTTGCTCCATTTCTACAATAGCATCTTCTCTTTGTTTCAATGGATAAGTCAACTTCATTCAAGCACCGCCTTTTGCTTACTGCTTTATCAGGGCAGCATCCTTCACTAATTTCACGTGCTAGTGATGACAATTTTTGTCCTCCTTTGTATTTTCTAATTATTTTCATTTTCATTTCCAAGTCTATTGGTTTACACTTACAAGATGGTTCACTTTTCCCCTGAAGACCATGTTTGCTGCAGTGGTGAAAATGGTGAAAAGGTGAAAAAGCCATGGTGAAAATAAAAGGATCACTATTGAACACAAGGAAAGGTACAGCATCACGTACTGTCTACAGACACAGGGAAACCAACTTAGAGATGCCTCTCAGATTCTCACTGCCTACATAGTACAGTGTCTGCTTTGCATAATTTTTGTAATTTTGGGGGGGGGATGCAATTCTTTACATATAAGTCCATATAGGTGATAAACACATTTACATAGGTATCATTTCCACCAAGACAAATGAAGCCATTCACCCCCAGATCAAGCAAAACATCTGGGTGAATTAATAAATGTCAGCTACCCTAGAGCTGACAAGGATCAGATGTGCAGAATCTGAACCTGGCTCTTCACCTGAAGACCTAAGTATTCTTTATTCCTTCTATCACCACGCTTCTCCACTTCATTGCCTAAGATTACACAACTGGTAGGTGCATATATGATTAGGACTGTGAGGACAGGAGGTTTACCTTTATTTCACCACTAGCCCCCCACCCCACCCCCAAGCCAAGCATTTGCTAAGCTGTCAACTTCTCTCCCCAACCTAGAGAGCCTCCTTCTTCCCTGCATATTCATCCAAACAAGCCACTTACACAGGGAAACCCAGCAGACCAACAGTCTCTCTAAGGTGGTCCTGGATTAAGAGAAAGAAAAGACTAGTCAGAGACGTGTAGAATTTACAGCCGGAAGGACATTGCCTTTATAGATGGAGGAAATAGAAGCCTAAAGAAATATGACTTGCCTAAGGTCACCACACCAAAATAGAGAGTGCTGGAAGGAGGATTCTGACCCAGCTCCCGTGCTCCCCAACGTGCCCGGCTCCTTGGCTATTTCAGGTCTGCCTTACCTTCTGGGCTGGAAGTAGTCATTTATTTCATGCCAGGCTCCCTCTTGCCCGGTCCCTGTGCTATCTAACCAGCTAACCCAGCTCATCCCAAGCCCTGGGTCCAGGGCTGCGGCTTTCATTCTCAGCTTTAATTCTCTGTCCACAACAGGAAGGAAGCATGGCCACTTTGCCTTTTCCTCCTGTGAGGGGCGGGGGAAGGAGAGGAGGGAGGGAAGGGAGGGAAAGTGAATAGTAGTAGCTGGCCCCAGCTTAATACAGGCACTGAAGCTCAAAATCCCCCTCCTCCCCACCCCACCCAGGCAGGCCTCATCCTCTTGCCAACACTCAGGAAGAAACAGGAGCT